TATAATTTAATTTATAAATGTTATTTCAAATAAGTAAAATAAAAATGGCAATCTTTAACCTTTGTCCCCCCCCCCCAAAATGGCGTGTTAAAATGACGTTTTTTGTTTTTCCCCACCTTCACACCTCTATTATTTTAACTACCTTCACTCTTCGGCAATGTTTATTGTTTTAAAGTGATGATTAGAACTATAATAAAATCTAATAATATGATGAAAATGAATTTATACTTTTTCTTTTTTTGCTCTTGTGAATTTACAACAAAAATATTACACTGAATGTGAGACTGGATCATTATTGATCAATATTGAAAGTCTATTTATATTAGACTTAAAACTTATTCATCTGTCTTTATTTCTGAGATGAGGTATTGTAACTGTTTACACTATTTACATTGTTCAGACTGTTGTCCTAATCTTTGTCATATTCATAATGTTTTGACCGTTGGATGATCCGGCCATCTTCAGATGATATATGTTGGAATCTTGAAATAAACCCTTTATTTCATCCATTAGAGTAGATTGTTCTACTTCTATGTGCCATACAATCTACACCAGTGGATGAAATAACAGGCTCAGTCCAAAATTCCAACATATATCATAATGGTTCTTTTATTTTAATGTTTTCTGGTAAAATCTAATCCCTTTTTTTTTTTTTTTTTCTTTTTTTTCTTTTTTTCTCTCTCTTTTTTCTCTCTCTCTTTTTCTCTCTCTCTCTTTTTTCTCTCTCTCTCTTTTTCTCTCTCTCTCTTTTTTTCTCTCTCTCTTTTTTTCATATTTATATGGACATTATTTTTATTTGTTTTTAATTATTTCACCCCAAGCAAGGTAATAATGCCGCTAAAACACAAAGGGATACTGGGTGAAAGAAAATGAGAAGAATTTAGGAGAAGGATCAAGAAACCCAATCCGAAACTTCTACTCGTGTTCAAAAGACGCGAAAGGAGTGTGAAATGGATGCTGGCAAACATTTCTACTCCTATTATTTAAAATTAAAATACAATAGACATTTAAATTTAAAAAATAAAAACTTCCATATCCTATACATAATATATACAATTACAGTGTTCAGCAATGCTCATGCATGCAATACCTGTGGTAATGTTTGTAAATCATCAAGTGGGCTCACTCATCATTTTAATAAGATGCATCCAAAAATGCCCATCCTGGGTAAGATGATAAACTAGGTCCAACAGCAAGGCCCTTGATCAGGAGGTTTTGAGGTGCGTGGAACCACCTCTTAATTGCTGGTTTTCCCAGGTCCACCCTGACCCAGGGTGGTAGCACCTGTTAGGTTCCCAACTATGAGCAAATAGTTAACCCTGAAACTGAGGTAAAAAACATTATGAATGTGTAAAAATAGGTTTTGATACCAGAAATACTTTGTAAAAAAAATTATTACCAGAAATAAAATTTTTGAAGAAAAAAAACTATTACTAGGAATACATTTTTGAAAAAAAATATTACTGGCAATACATTTTTTAAGATAATATTTCCAGGAAAAAAAAAGTTATCGGCATTAAATGACCCTTTGAGGTTGATATGCCGTAAAACAAACCAAACGAGTATTCTTTTAGTGGTAAACTCTCATCTGCCGAACGTGGAGTAAAATGCAAATCTATTGCAGTGCTCAAAAGGCACTTTAGGAATGTGTTGTAACCTAGGTAATGTTACTGAATAGAATAATCAAATGAAGGTTGGTAATGAATGATAATAATTAGGACAAGAACAGCACATAAGATTTACTAGCAGCGTGGAGAAGTAGTCAACTGCTAGAAGTGAGTCAAGTGAATTCTACAATGAATCTCCAAATGCAGACTAACATACAGTATTTACTACTGTATTTATGTGAATGGGGACATACCCGTCATTGTCTGTAGGTATGCTGCAACAGAATGGTTGTGGAAAACTTAACTGGTGCAAAAGTGGTTTTAATTAGTGACAAGATGACATATATACACACACACACACACACACACACACACACACACACACACACACACACACGGTCAAGTGGTTTGAACGTTTGCTTTTTGGCCATGAGACCTGGGTTCAGGTTCCTACAGGATCGATTTGTCAGGGAGATGATCCCAGCAAGTGGCACCTTTTGAAAAGTGCCTGAAAAGTATACCACATGTCGATTCAAGCCCTGTGAGTGAAATTGCATAGGTGGAACTCTTTGGGGAGTTATCGATGGTTGTGTTAGGACAAAGTCACAAGTCATTGTGACTGAGAGTTTGAGTGTGCTGGCCTTGTTCAGACTTTTGATTACACTAGATAATATGCTCTCTCTCCATGAAACTGTAATTAAGGTCCACTCAGTATAGTTGCAGTATAAACCATAGGTGAGCTCTGTGGGTGTTGAACGAACACAAATGTGGCAGAGCAGGCGTCTGCAAGAGGGATTGCCTAGCCGCCCTAGTAGACAGGCATCCTCAGATAGGAGTGGCCAGTCATTTTTTACACACACACACAGAGTTTAGATGTAATATTATTCCTGATTGTCAGTTTTACAGTAAGTAATCAAATTTGAAAGGTTGTTGAATAAGCAGGCATTTTTGAGTGGAATTGGTAAAAATTCCTAATAACAGCAATAATAAAAATAAGACAAGCAGGATAAAATAATACAATGAATGAACAATGTAATGCAAGGCAACTATAAGACAATAGCAAAGTAACACAATTATAATACAGTAAAAAAAGAAACTGGGTTCGTATGCAATTGGGATACAGTCAAGTGCTTATAACTTCTAGGTAAGACCAAGAATTATCCATTTTATTGACTAAGAAGAAATTAGTGCACATATATATATATATATATATATATATATATATATATATATATATATTGCAGTAAAAGAATTACTAAGCCATAAATAATTAAATACATAACACAGCAATATAATATCATGTTCATGTGCCTAAATACTTTTAAATTTAAAATTAAAAAAATATTTTTTAAATTTGTTTAAATTTACAATCTAAGGAATGGTAATTAAAAAATTTCTACAGATGATCTAATATATTTTCATGCAAGTTAGGATTCTGTTTCATCCATAATAGTTAAACAATACTTATGATAGGAGATTTACATTATTTGGACTATTGTCCTCATCTTTGTCGCCATATATATTACAACATTTTAGTCCTCTCCAGGTGGTTGGAATGTCAAACTTTTTTCGCTCACTGGGGTAGACTGTTCTAGTTCCACATGCCATGTTTAATGGATGTCAGTTATCTCCTGGTTAATTCCCTTCTCCAAGTTCTCCTTAACCGGGTATTGAATTCGCACTCTTTGGGTCCTGTCACTGGATCTAACTAACATCTTTATCCACTGTGCCATGTGTCCTTGAGGACATCTGGGTATGAATTTCTGGGTATTATAAACCTAATGTCTTCAGTAAACATTTTCTACCAGTGCTCATATTGCAATTTTTTGCTGTTATCATTTAATGTTTTTACCAGAGCTCATAATTCAATTTTTGTTGTTACTAATCACTTTTTCTCTGGCAAACAATACATCTTTACTAAGATTAAATTCTTGATTTAAGTTCCCATTTATAAACATAGTTACATTTAAATGATTTAATTGGAAGAAATTAAGATCATTCACCATACTAATTTGAAAGAATTAAAAAAAAATCTCAGAAAATGAATTGTAATCAAACTATTTGAACGTGATAAAAAAATCATATTCACCAGTAAGCCATAGTGGCTTAACAGGTTTTAAAAATACAATAATGTTGTCAGTCAATAATGTATTGTAGAATTTTATCTGCCATATTATTGATAACACACACACACCAAGATATAATAAAAGCATTTTGAGTTTTGAAGAAACAAAAAAAAGATAAGTCTATTTTGAAATGCAAACTCTTACGCTGGATTACACACTGGTTAAGATTTGTATGAAAGCCATAAGGTTGTGCTTTGGACACATTTTAAGCTTGGATTCTTTGCCAGTGTAAAAAAAAACAAAAAAACCTTTGATTGGAAAATGTAATTTAGAATATTTTTTTTATTTCTTTATTATACAGATAATATCTCGGAAATTTTGTTTTGGAACTTTTGAATGACCCTTTTTATTATCTTGAGAATGTGACATTTTTACCCTCAGCAAAGAATATTTTTCACAGCCTGTCTGGCTCTTTGATAGTTGTGCTATGAAATTAGACAGTTTCAAAGTTTATTTTTAAAAGAATTCTAGTTGTAATGTAGGGGACCTTAAAACATATCCCCTGTTATTTTTCAAGTAAATAGATATCAGTTAAGGTTATAAAGATATTCTTTGATATGGTTGTCAGTCCTCAAATAACATGCACTTTTGAAAGTAGTTTGCTGTGCTGTCGTTGGACCTGACATAGGGGGCAAGGTCTTACAAAGTTGATGATGATTCCAGTCTACAGCAACTGAGGTCATTTGACTTCTTTTTTTACATAGGCAAATGAGGTAATTCAGAAAGTTCAAAGCTTTTTTTTTTTTTTTTTTTTTTTTTTTTTTTATTGACCCAAAGATGTCAAGTTAGCTTGATTCAAATTATTCCAAAAAGTTTTTAAAATGCCTCTCTCTCTATCTATCTATCTATCTATCTATCTATCTATATATATATATAAAATTTCATCCTCTTTGGAATTACCAATTCAGTTTACCAAATTCTTCATAACTTAAATATATATATATATATATATATATATATATATATATATATATAGTGAGTCATGCATGTTGATTCTGTGGATTAAGTAGTAATTAACCTACAAAGGTTAGTCCCTTTCTAACTGGAATGAGAGTTTACCATTTTGATAGAAAAATAATCAAAGAATATCTATTTTCAACAGAAATTTCTGTTAATTATATTTTTTTATTTTTTTCTGAAAAGTTACCTAAAAATAATCAGCATTGAAGCAAGAACTCAATGTCTTTTGTTTTCTATTTGTGTAGTTTACTGACATTACTAATATGGGGTGTAGATTTTCACTTAGATATATGGTTTACAGCCACATGTTGAAACATTGGTTCCCATACAAACACCAAAGTTAAGTAACATCAAGCCTGGTCAGTACCTAGATGGGTGACTGCTTGAGAATACTAGGTAGTGTAAGCTTGGATGTACGGTTGGTGTGAACAAAAAAAAACAAGCCATTTTACTATCTATATTATGTTTAGGTCTTATGGCCATATCACTTTGAAACACTAGTTGCTGCATGAACACTTAAGTTAAGCAATGTCAAGCCTGGTCGTACTTAGATGGGTGTCCGTTTGGGAATACCAGGTGCTGTAAACTTGAATGTGCAGGTGGTGTAATAGATAAATGCTCAGAATTGTTAATCAGAGAGCCAAGTTCCAATTCTGGTTGGGTTTGTTACATTCATTCTGCAGAAATAACCTTGAGCAAGTTATAAATCCACCTCTTATCTTCCCTGTTATGGGTTAATTAGTAAAACTTGTATCACTAAATCATTATCTCAAAAAAAATTCTAAAAATATTTTTTGGCTTTAAATAACCTGCAATGGGTTGATAAACCATAAAAATGATTGAATCAATCAATTAAAGATATTGTATGAAGGATAACAACTGTTCAAATAGATGGGGATGCATGGCACCTGTTTAAAAAAAAAAAAATTAATGCTAAAATTACTGTATTTAATGACATATAATATGCCCTCCCCTGTATTTAATGGCAAATAATATGCCCTGCCCATTTACATTTAATATTATAGAATTAGACTCGGCACAAGTTTTGTTCATCTATGATGTCTGGATGAACATTATGCAACCAGATATCTCAACTTTTTATATAAGATCAAGGAGATATTTTTTGGGGTCACCTGAGAAATGGAAGGTTCAAAACAGCAGAGATTTACATAGCTTTGTCATAAATATTTTCTAATTTTATTATCTTGAGAATCAGTTGTGTGGCCTTGATACAACAAGGCAGTCAATTAAAGGGAGCCTTATTGCACATGTGAACATGGTCCTGTAAATGAGATACTATTTTGTGAATTTGTATACTGTGTGACTGTTCAAGTCATCATGGCAATACCCATTCTTCATGTCTTGTTCTGTTTTTGTTTTTGTTTTTTTTTGTTTTTTTCAAACTCTCACATCATTCATGTTTATCAGCTCTCTAGTGGACTTGTGGCTAAAATTGAAATTATCAGATTTCAGCCCATGGACAAGATTATGGAGAAAGCAATGAGGCAGCTGATGGCAATCCCAAAAGAAGACTGTTCAGATGGCTTTGAAAATTGAATGAGACATTGAGATAATTATGTGTGATATCAAAAGTAATACTTTAAAGTGGACTAGGGTGCCCTTTCCCTAGGTAGGTTGTCAAATAATAGATGCTTTCTAGGCAAACCTCTGACAGAGGTCCTACAATAATATTTGCAGCCTAGCAATAAAAAGGATTTATTTTACACCAAATATCTTTCAACATAATCTCTTGTTAAAGCACTTAATTCAATGGTGAATATTAATGATACAAACTGAACATTAGGCAATGAATATGTCAAAGTTCAGCTAATTGTATACAAGCCTTTGGACTTATTGATGCATTCTAATAAGTTGGAAAATCTGTTGGATTGGAGCATAGAACATGCTTGAGTGTGTTTTTGTTTATTTTTTTTTCTCTTTGCAAGACAGCTGTATTTGTCAGATTGCCAAATTAGACATTATAATGTGCATATTTTCACTTTTAAAAAATGGTTGAAAAAAAGAAAAATAATTGAGTCATGTCACCAGGCACGAACAAAATCTAAAATTCATTTCATAATTTAAAAAAAAAAATGTGATTGCAAAAAGCACAGACTGGAAGCATTTTTAATATTTTTAATATTGGCAAGTTGACAGCTGATCTGAAAGTAGTTAAACTGAAAATACTTCATCTTATTATTAATTTTTCATGCTTATTTTTAATTTTCTATTTATCACAACTCTCAGTTTATTTCTATATTTATTCTATAAGCATACAGTTTCAGTCAAAGAAGAAATAAGAGAAATATTGTTCAAAAACTTGTAATGACCAAGCATAGAAATAACTACAATATGGGAACCAGTAATAAGGAGTGCCAGAGAAAAGCAATGATAACAACAAAGTTGCAATATGAGCTCTGGTAAAAATATGAAATGATAACAGCAAAATTGCAATATGAGCACTGGTAAAAATGGTTGCTGAAGACATTAGGTTTATAATACCCAGAAATTCATACCCAGATGTCCTCAAGGACACATGGCACAGTAGATAAAGGCGTTAATTAGATCCAGTGACAGGACCCAAAGAGTGTGAGTTCAATAATGCAGTGGAGAACTTTCAGAGGGAAATTAGCAGGAGATAACTGATAACTGACATACATCAAACATGGCATGTGGAACTAGAACAGTCTACCCCAGTGAGCGAAATAAAGGGTTCAGTTCGAAATTCCAACCACCTGAAGAAGGCTGGATTGTACAATGGCCAAAACGTTGTGATAAATATGGCGACAAAGATGAGGACAATAGTCCGAATAATGTAAATAATGGACATTTTTTATCTTGAAAATTAGGATAATTCAAGGCAAGAAATTATCGAGTCAATTTTCTGCTAAATAAATGCAACAAAAATAAAATGAATTCATATTTGAGAACATAATACTATTAATTTTTTTTTTATCTTGGAAATTAGGATAATTTAAGTCAATTCTTCAGCTTGGTAATTATATAAAGCAATCTAATAGATAAAATAGAATCTAATATAGAAAATTTAAAATAATTCTTTATCCTGAAAGTTAAGATAATTTATGACAAAAATTTCCTGTATTACTACAAAAAATAAAAGCAACAAAACTGAAATACTGTTCAAGAACGAATAACAACAATAATTCTTTATGTTGGAAATTTGGATAATTTAATTGTTGAGTAATTGGCCATGTTTAAGTTGTAGTGTCATAGTCAAAATGGACTTGCCCTATTTTGCATAGTTGAGCATCTACTAATAAATCCGTTGTCACTCAATATGGAGGGAGAACTCTTATTTCACAGACTAGAAGACGTTACAACAATATGGTGTCACTGATAGGATCTCTAAAACCATTGGATGAGTCTGACTTTGTGGAAACATAGATTTGTTGTTTTGCTGCCCAGACATTGCCAAGAAGTTAAAAGATCACAAAGTTGCAGGAAGGGAAAACAGATCTCTTTTTGGCTTTGACAGAATGGTAGGCCATCAGAAAGATCTCTGTCATGGCATATCCTAGAGAATTGGAGGATTTGGGTTTTTTGGGGGTTTTTTTTTACACAAATTACAAACAGTTATAAAGAGAAATTTGTGGCTGAAGAAATTGGTTATTGCTGAGAGGGCAGTTTCTCATGAGCAAACAAGAACTGAATGAAACCATAATACATTATATACACAGGCTTTGAGAGCCTTCCAGATTCTTTGAATTAGAAAAACTTGGCACTCAAGAAATGATCATTGAAGATGTGTTGAAACAGTTGAGGTTAAATGAAAGTATGTGTGATGCTTCATACAAACACAAAACTTTAGGAGGGTTTAGGACTAAAATGTTCTTGGATGCATCTATAGAGTTTCTGCAACAATTAGAGTTAATTGAAAAATTCAATACATTCAAGAGTAATGCTGAAACATACAGCATATTGAATTACATTGTGCAATGCAAATACTGTGATGAAAAGCATTAATGAAACAAGAAAAAATACCCAGCTTTAGGACAACTATGCTGGACTTGTGAAAAGAAAACATTTCCAGTTTGTGTGCAAGCATAAAAGTAAAATAGAAGGGGTATAAAATTTAACTGCCCCTCAGGAAAGTTTAACTGTATTTGCAATACAAAGACATAAAGAAAAAAGTGCTGAAGAAAAAACTAAATTGGATGGTATAACTTTTCCTATTCAAGTAGATACTGGGAGTGACGTCACATTAATCCCAATAAATTGCTGGTAACAAATTGACAAACCCACATTAAAGAAAAATTGGTTTAAACTAAGACAGCTCACTGGCTCGTTCATCAAAACATTAGGTTGTTTTGAAGGAACTTTTGAGAGTGACACACACTTTGAAATTATTGTTATTATGGTAGTGAAATGGGAGGAAAAGTCATGGACTCATGGGAATAGATGATTTTGAAAGTGGATACAACCAAATTAATAAACAGTGTGAATGACACAGGGATGTTAAAAGGATACAAAGCCAACATTCAATAAAAAGAAAATAGTCACCTCCTCTTTGAGCTTCGCAGACTGCCCATTCACATGCTACCTTTAGTAGTTGCTAGACTAAAAACAATGGTGGAGCAAGGAATTTTAGAGCATGTTCTCTCTGATGGGAATAATTGGGCCTTATCCATTTCAGTTTTATGAAAACTGGATGGAGATTTAAAGATATATGGAGACTACAAAATAGGAGTAAACCACAAAATATGCCCCAATTCATTCCCTATTCCTAACATTGAAACTGCTATTCACAAGTTGTCAGGAATTTAATATTTTGCTAAAATTCAATCTTAAATCTGCCTATAACCAGATACAAATTGATGAAAAATTTAAAGTGGTCACTCTCCAAGGTGATGGAAGCATATGCCTTATGGTGTAAAAACAGCAAGTGCTATTTTTCAAAGAGCCATTGAAAATGTACTAACTGGTGATGTTAAAAATATGATAATCTATCAAGACAATTTATATCTACTAGTGCTACCAGTAGAGAAGAGCTAAAACAAAAAATAGATTGTTTCAAAAAATTAAAAAATACTGGTATGACTATAAACAAGGATAAATGTATGTTAAATTGTAACACCATAACATATCTGGGATACCAGATTTCCAATGACAGAATTTTACCAGACACAAATTTGATAAAGAAAATAGCAGAGGTATTTACACCTAAAATTGTAATCTTTTTTTAGGGTTAGCAAATGTTTACAGCAGATATTTGTCAAAGTATATTGAATTGGTAGATTCCTTTGTGGAGTTAAAAAAAAAAAATGAATTTAAATGAACTGAGTGGTAGAATACAGCATCTGAAAATTTAAAGAATGAACTTGTAAAAAAAACTTGTAGTTTTTGACCCTAAAATTAAGTGATTTTAACTACAGATGCAAGTGAGCATACCCTATCAGCAATTTTGTCTCAAGAAGGTTATCTTATACCTTTCTAAAAGGTTAACATTAGCCAGGGCTAACTATTCAAATATTGAAAAAAAGAAGCATTAGCTATCATATGGAGCACAGATAGAGCTCATCAATTTTTATTAGGCAGGAAGTTTCTGTTTAAATCTGATCATAAAC